ATTGCTTGGTGGCTCAAGGCTTCTGGTGCTTATGCTCCAGCAAGCAAAGTGAAAGCTGCTTCATCTTTTATGACCCATCCCCTGGAGTCATGAATTGTCACTTCCACCTGTTCTGTTGGTTATATGTGAGTCGCTGACTTGGCCCAGATTCAAGGACAGGGAACATAGCTTCTACCTCTTGATGGAAGAAGTATAAAACAATTTGCAGATACGTTTTAAAAATGCATAAAATGGTGTAGTCTAGTACCAAATCTAATAACGACATCCTTTCAAAGTAGTGATGAGTACTATAAATGATATTTTGAGTTATCTGTAACAACTACAATTTGATACACAATAATCTGTGATTTCTATTGGTGATTCTATATGGGTACTGTAAACACAGTTATTAATACTACAGCAATGCTAATAGGTACTGCTAGCAAACTATAATTTGTTGTCTGCATTTGTAAGTAAATGAAATGCTCAATTTCACTTAGAGGCTAGGGGAATAAAGAGATAACTATAACTAGGGGCATATAAAAGCATCATTCAGAGTCTATATGAAGTTAGAGAGTATGAATATGTAGGTAGAGACATAAATCTATGATGTGAAAATTTCAATTCCTCTTCTAGTGTTAAGGTGTCCTTATGAGGGACAAATAACTGGATTAATTCAAGGTAGAGGAATTGTCAATCAGGTGCATCAGAAGGGACAACGGACTTTAGAATTTTGTCAAGAAAGTCACTGGATGGTAAGAGTTATGAAAGAAGATGCCATGTTGGTTTGGCTTACTATATAGCATTCCCAGACTGTTAGTTGAGTAGTTGGAATGGTTAAACTTGTATGTCTCCCTCTGCTGGCTTCTTGGCAGTATTGCTCTTTAAAGCTCTGCCTAATATCCCAAATAAGGGTTCTCTCATGGAATCCCTAGAATATTTAGAATTGTTCATATTGTTCTATAAAGAAGTTCGCCCCTCAATTCAGAGCATCCCCATCAAAGCCAAAGAGTATCCTCTCTTACTATTGCTAATACTGGCTAATATAGAGAAGACAAAAATTGTAGATACTAATGGTTTGACTCCTAATTTTCCTAGAGAGTAATTAGAAAGAAATGAGATATATGTAAACACTGCAGTTTTGAATTAGAAGAATTAGCTGTGAGTCTTGGCTTTCCTTATTTCTTACTGGTTGTGCAAACTTTAGGAACTATTGCTTTTATATTAGTTGTGTAACATTACCATTCTAAGTTTATAATCAACCTCTGAAGCTATGCAACAGAATTCTGGCTACTTTCCTAATTCTAATATTTTATTATTCTAAGTGCTGTTGAATTACAAAAATTTAATGATTTATTTCTACTGTTTCTTTATACCATTTGGATCATTTTTAGACATGAGCAAAATGGTTAAAACCATTCCTGTTATCATCACCTTCCTTCCTTGATATTGTGCCAAACACACTGTGGACACCCAAATGAATTTTAATTGATAATTATTATGATGGCAAAAAAAGCCCTGGGCTGTGGAGTGTTGGGGGTGGGGGCGGTAAGAGATCAACTGAAGGACTTGTATGCATGCATATAAGCATAACCAATGGATACTGGGGCTATGGGGTGAGGACATGTGCCGGGGAGTAGGGGAGGCTGGGGGAAGGTCAATGAGCGGGGGGTGGGGCAAGGAGACATATGTACTACTATCTGTAATACTTTAAACAATAAAATAAAATTTAAAAAAAAGCCCTGGGGTTTTAATTTGAGCCAAATTCTCTCCTGGTTATATGGCCAGTATTTTGAGTAGCAGCTGTGAACAGATCTGTATTTCCTTCCCTTGCCACCCCCACAACAGTCTGAAATGTTTGCTTCAAATGAGAAAAACCAAAAGCCAAAAATGCAGTTTCAATCTGTCTTACTGCCCAGTCACTAGTTAAATTCTCTATATCACATTTCTTTAGATCAGTTGACTCTTAAACGCTATTGCAAGAAATGAGGATACAAAGTGGTGGGAGGGAAGGCAGGAAATACAGGATCAAATAACAGCTTCACTTCTTCTCAGTGTAATATCCATCGTTCAAGATTAAAATATAGCATGTCATGAAGTGTGAGCTCATTATTCCAATGTTCCCAGATATAACAGATGTCCATAAATAGTAGTAAGAATAATTATAGCTACCAGTTATTGAGAGCTTACTATATGCCATATATATGCATATATGAAGGAGGTGTATACATACTAGTATACATACTAGTATATATTGAAGGATATTGTGATCTCCAATAAAAATATTTATAGTAGGTTTTCGTCACCTTTCCTGACAGAGAACTCCTAAAATCCTTGGAATTTCCTAAGAGATAAGAATGATAAAGGTGTCTTTGTTATTCATAAAAAGACCTTTACAACAATACCAGAGTTTATGTTAGTGAGGAGACTATTAAAATGCCCCAAATGATGGTTGCCAGGGGGAACCAACCATGTGATTGGAGGGTTGGAACCTAGGCCCCACCCCACCTCTGAGAGGGGAAGGGGGCAAGAGATTGAGCTCATTCACTAATGGCCAATGACTTAATCAATCATGCTTACTCAATGAAGCCTGATAAAACCCAAAGGGAAGGGGTTTAGAGAGTCCGTCAGGTAAGTGAACACAGGTAAGGTTCCAGGAGAAGTGCTGTGCCCTAGAGGGCATGGAAGGCTCTGCACCTCTTCCCACATATCTTGTCCAGTGTGTTAGGGTCACCAAAGAGGAATGCAGGAGGCCAAACTGGTAAGGGATTATAAATGTATTAGAGGCCCAGTACATGAAATTCATGTGGGCGGAGGGTGGGGGGGGAGGTCCCTCAGCCCGGCCTACACCCTCTTGCAATCTGGGACCCCTCAGGGGATGTCCAACTGCTGGTTTAGTCCCTGCGGGATCCCTCTCACATTGTGGGACCGCTGGCTCCTAACTGCTTGTCTGCCTGCCTGCCTGATTGCCTCTAACTGCCTCTGCCTTGGCCCCTGCACCTGGGATCTGGGCTTCCCTCCCTCTGGCTGGCTGCAGGCAACTGGGACTGTGGGTGGCTTCCCCCAGGCTGGGCCCCGGCTTTGTCCTTCCAGGAAGGACGTTTGGAACGACATCCGGAAGATGTCTGGTCTATCCATTCTAATTAACATATTACCCTTTTAGTAGTATAGATTAGGTCATCTGGAAGTCAGATGGGCTGAGCCCCAAAATGGCTCTAGCACCCAGGGACAGGGAGTTTGAGATTTTAAAGGACTCTAGGTGGACTTTATCTGGGTGGGGCATTCTCTCACAGGTCCTGAGGGGAAAGATAATGATCTTAGCAAGTGGAATGTGGTCTAAGCAAAAGAGTATGTCAGAAAGGTGGGGGGTGGGAGAATGGGAGATATCTGTAATACTATCCTATATAATAAAAGGGTAATATACAAATTGACCCTAACAGCAGAATGACTAGGAATGACTGGTCACTATGACACACACTGACCACCAGGGGGCAGACGCTCAATGTAGAAGCTGCCCCCTGGTGGTCAGTGTGCTCCCACAGGGGGAGGTCTGCTCAGCCACAAGCCAGGCTGCCAGCTGCCAGTATAGCAGTGGTGGTGGGAGCCTCTCCTGCCTCCTCAGCAGAGCTAAGGATGTCCAACTACAGCTTAGTCCTGCTACCAGCTGGCAAGTGGACATCCCCCAAGGGGTCCCAGGTTGTCAGAGGGATGTCTGATTGCTAGCTTAGGCCCAATCCCCCAAGGAGTGGGCCTAAGCCAGCAGGTGGACATCCCCCGAGGGGTCCCAGACTGAGAGAGGGCACAGGCCAGGCTGAGGGACACCCCCCCCCAAGTGCACAAATTTTGTGCACCAGGCCTCTAGTCAACAATAAAAAAAAAAT